GATACCAAACCTATGTTACAAGGTTGCTGGAGGAGTCTGAACGGGAGTAGAGAAATTACTAGCTCACACACGAACCCTATAGCTAAAGCACGGACACACAGAGCTCACACACCACAAGCAACACAACAACACCACTCAAGGCGCGCGCGCACACACACATACACACACACACACATGACCTAGCGCATGTGGGCAACATGGCTAATAGAGCAAGCAGAAGGCAGCCGTCAAGCGACAAGGAACCGGGGTGCCTCCTTGTGTCGGCTTCCGCACTAAACTGCTCGTGGCTCAGCAAGTTGCCTGCGGACTGTGCTGGCACGAGGTCGAGGAGCAGGCAGTGCAAGAGAGCTCGTGGCATCGGCGAGGAGGTATGCTTGGCCGACACAGGATGGCGGGGCGACGGCGCAGGGCAGATGGCTCCGGTGAAGAGGAGATGAGGATTGAGGAAGGGATGTCAAGGGCAAGAGATGAGGTGAGAGAGACGCCTCTCTCTAGTAAATCCCCAAGAGGCCGTAAAAAAACTAAAAAAAAGAAAAAAAATTCTACCAGCTACAGGGTCTTACTTATTTGCAACGATGTTTTTTTTAACAAATCTCTTCTTTTTCCTTGGTCACAACGGGGCGAACAGACGGAACCGTCACGGCACGGGATTCCTTCTCCACCCAGGCCCGTCAGAACCGCCATAAATACCCGCCCCTTCCTCGCCTCCTCCAATCCCCACCACCGCTCCAGAACGGAACGAACGAAAAATCCCCAACCAATCTCGTCGCCGATCAACCCTAGGCTCGTCGAATCCTCCTCCCCCGCCGCCTCAAGGTACGCCGCCTCCTTCCTCCCGCCCCACGTATCGTCTAGATCTACGCTTTTTGAGGTGCTTCGCGGTAGTCGGAGCCTTGGAGGTGTGGTTGCGTCGAATTTGATCCGTTCCTGCCCCGGCCTGATGCTACGAACGTAGCTTAGTTCCCCGATCTATTCGCGCACACAGACTTCGTTTGGATTTCGCGTGTACCTCGCGATTTCTTTTCTGCTATTTTTTTTATTGAAGGGATAGATCTGTTCGTCTTGGTTGATTTCCTAATGGCTTATGGTCTCGGATTTTGTTAACATATGCATGTTTTATCTGCTACTTGTACGTCAGTTCCTTCTCGATTTCATTAGCTCATGTGCAGTAGTTCAATAGTGCTTGTACCAATATCATCCTAATAGGCCCAGGATTATAAGATTATTTATCACCCAAAGCTTAGGTTTATTTTCTTAGATGGTAAGCATGTCCGGCAGCTATGTGGAACCCTTGAGATGGATGATATCTGTAGATTTTAACCTGTCGTCTGTCAGTAGCTCTTTGATAAGAAAATATGCTGCTGCCGTTTGTTTATTCTGGTCTATCTAGGGCACATCTAGATGTGCTAATAGTTATTGCGTGACTCAATCAAACATAAAAAGGAAAACTAAAACTAAAAGAAGATTACCCGCATGAATCTTCACCTAAAATCAATGGAATAGGACTTAAGATGTGCAATACTTAGGTCATATCTGACCTAGATGTGCTTTAGCAAAACCGTGTTTTCGATTGCTTTATGTATAGGGCTGCATTATTAGCATTATCATGTTACTTTGCTTGCTGTGCTGCTTGAGGCTTACCATCCTGTTCTGGATTCTTCTCTGCAGATGCAGATCTTTGTGAAGACATTGACTGGCAAGACCATCACCCTTGAGGTCGAGTCGTCTGACACAATCGACAATGTCAAGGCCAAGATCCAGGACAAGGAGGGCATCCCTCCGGACCAGCAGCGTCTCATTTTCGCTGGCAAGCAGCTTGAGGATGGCAGGACCCTTGCTGACTACAACATCCAGAAGGAGTCCACCCTTCACCTTGTCCTCCGCCTTCGTGGAGGCATGCAGATCTTCGTCAAGACGTTGACTGGCAAGACCATCACCCTTGAGGT